GGAAGGAAGGAAGGAAAGAAGGAAGGATAGGATAGGATAGGATAGGATAGGATAGGATAGGATAGGATAGGATAGGATAGGATAGGATAGGATAGAATTCTTTATTGGCCAAGTGTGTTTGGACTCACAAGGAATTCGTTTTTGGTGCAGATGTTCTCAGTACAAAAATAAAAATAAAATAGAATACAATCATCAAGAATAATAAAATACAACATTTAATGTTGTGATAGTCAATAGTCATAGTCATATATGTATGTTTGTGTGTGTGTGTGTGTGTGTGTATATATATATAGATAGATAGAGTGTGTGTGTGTATATACATACATTCATACATACATACATACATACATACATACATACATACATACATACATACTATAAATTAGAGTTTCTCTACCAAAGACAACAGAAAGCCCGTGGTCTCGAAGATGTGATTACTTTTTATAAAAGTCATAGTTTTCGTGGAATCAAGTTTGCTTTCATTGCGAACAGATAAGGATCCCATCGATAGGGCACACTCGCGGGAAAAACAGGACTGCAACCTTTTGAAATACCTCCACCACTTTCGCCATTGGTCCCCTGCCTTGCCCATCCAACAAGAACCAGCCAATTAACGATCCACCCCCCCAAAAAAGTGCCCTAATCCCCTCCCCTTTCCGAATCCCCGCCCATCCCTTCCTCGGAGCCAGTGTAAGCTCCTGCCTTCACCACTTCCGGCACGAATTGCCAGTCCTCCAATCTCTCTCTCTGTCTTATCCCGCATCTCCTCGCGCGCAGGGGACCCTTCCGTGTCATCTGTCGCGCGCGACGCCCCGATTGGCCAAACTTTGGCTTCCGCGACCTCCTTTCTTTTCGACGCCGACCAATGAAAACATTTGTTTGGGAGTGAGAAGGGGGGAAAACAACAACAACCCTTTCCTCCTCCTCCTCCTCCCCGCCCCCTTTCCCTTCTGCCTGTCTTGTTCTTTCTTTTTGTCCCCGCCCCTTTGGAGGCGTGGCTTGCTGTCGGAGTTCTCCGCTGGGCCTCCCCGGGCTCGCGCGCCGAGGCTCTCCCTCTTCCCATCTTGCGCGCGCGGCGCGTGGCGGCAAACGAGGAAGCGGAAGCCACCGGAGAACTCGCGGCGGCAGGCAACCGGGGTAGGCATTTGTAAAGGCGGCCGCCTGCCCGGGAGTTGCGGGGCGGAGAAGCCGCGCAAGGGCGGTTTGCCGGGATCGGTTGCCCTGCCGTGGCCGCCGCAGGTGCCGGAGGATTCCCATGCATCAGGTAGGAGCCAGGCCCGGTTGGCTTGCATACCCGGTTAGGGGGTGTGGGGGTGTGGGTGGGATGTGCAGCCCGGCCTGTAAAGCAACGCTGGCTTCCAACCCCATCAAGGGCGCGAAATGCATAATCGGCTCCTGGGATTGATTTTTCGCCGAAGCTTGCCTTGCAAGGTTGGGTATCCCTCCGGCGGGGCGCAGGGAAGAGCGGGAGGGAACAGAGCCGTGGCGGGAGTAAATAATTATGGGCAAACCCCCCTCCCCCCCCACGGGCTGGGCTTCCTAGGAGAGGAACGGTAGAGGCGAGGCGGCTTGCACAGTGGTCAATTTTGCACCGGGGAAGCAAAGGAGGGGCGTTTGCATTAGTTAAGGGAGGGAAAACCGGAGGGGGGGAGTGTCATCAGAGGGGGAGGGAACAGAGCCGTGGCGGGAGTAAATATTGACCGATAGTNGTCCACTAGGACTCCAAGATCCCTCTCACAATTACTACTATTGAGCAAGGTACCACCTATACTGTACCTGTGCATTTCGTTTTTCTTGCCTAAATATGTTATGAAAATGAAAAAATAAAAATAAACTTTATATATAAAAAAAGATTTAAAAAAATCAAGCACACCTAACGATCTCATTTCACTTGTTTTTATGACATTTTTATGCTGCCAATCCCTCTGATAGGGCAGACCATGCAAACATATCCCCAATCCCTAGGAAATAATAAACCAACCACAAAAATCCCGCACAGGTCCTGCCTGCCCCCATATCTGCATCTCAACCTGGAGAGCTTGAGGTTTGCGGTTGGACTTCAACTCCCAGAATTCCCCAGCAAGCCTTGCAGGTGCTGAGGAATCCTGGGAGTTGAAGTCCGCCCATCCACGAACGGCCAAGATTTGAGAAATCACTGCTTTTAAAAGCCTCAGGAAGGGCCGGGAGAGATGATAAAGATTGGGAGGGAGGGAGGAGAACGAAACCAAGATTAATTTAAGGGTTCTCTCTTGCTGACGCCCCCCCTCATCCCACTCCGCTGGGGATCTCCCGTATGGCAGTTAAGCCCAGCTCGATTGCTCGAGACTTTATGGACGCGGCCGTGGCTGCCGAAGGGCTTCCTTTTCGGTCGTTGCCCCATCCAGCAGCGAGTCGAGTCCTCCCGCCATCCCGGACTTGGCCGCCTTACCTTTTTCCTGTCGGGATCCGACCGAGGCCTGCTGGGCCGATCGGCCGCTTGAAAAGCAGAGGCTTCGCGTTGCCCTTGGCAACGGCGAGCGCCCCCCCCCGTCACGGAAATACCCGAAAGGGAAGCGGAGAGAGCCGAAGGTAGTGGGGGGTGTGTGTGTGGAAAGGAGGCCGGGCGGAAATTGCCGAACGCTTTCGCACATCGCTTGTTCGGCAAGGCGGTGGAAGAGGCGCCCTTGGGGGTTGCAAAACTGATTATTTCTCTCTCTTTCTTCTGTTTTGGACTTTCTGCCCAAACAAGTAATAAAAAAAATCACACACACAAACACACACATCGAGTTTGTTGCTTGTAGGTTTTGTTGTCAAACCAGGCAAGACGATTCGGTCTTAGCTTGTTTGAGAGCAAATCGTGATAGATGGTTCTGTTTTTCTGTGCTGAAATGCCCCTCCCGTGCCTTTTCAGTGGCAGTGTTTTATTTACAAATAGAGAATGACAGTTGGAAGGGACCTTGTAGGTCATCTAGTCCAACCCCCCCACCTCACTCGCCCAAGCAGGAGACCCTACACCATTTCTGACAGATGGCAGTCTAGTCTCTTTTTGAAAGCATCCAGGGATGAAATAAGTAAACAAATCCCCTCCTATAACTCTCTCTCTCTCTCTCTCTCTCTCTCTCTCTCTGTGTGTGTGTGTGTGTGTGTATGATGAATGGAGGGAGGGAGGGAGGGAGGGAGGGAAGGAAGGAAGGAAGGAAGGAAGGAAA